GCACAGTCTTCATCTGGACATGTAATTGGGTTACCCTCTCTGCTATTACACACCTTTACACAGTCTTCATCTGGACATGTAATTGGGTTACCCTCTCTGCTATCCCACACCCTTACACAGTCTTCATCTGGACATGTAATTGGGTTACCCTCTCTGCTATCCCACACCCTTACACAGTCTTCATCTGGACATGTAATTGGGTTAACCTTACTGCTATCCCATGCCCTTGCACAGTCTTCATCTGGACATGTAATTGGCTTACCCTCTCTGCTATCCCATGCCCTTGCACAGTCTTCATCTGGACATGTAATTGGGTTACCCTCTCTGCTATCCCATGCCCTTGCACAGTCTTCATCTGGACATGTAATTGGCTTACCCTCTCTGCTATCCCACACCCTTGCACAGTCTTCATCTGGACATGTAATTGGCTTACCCTCTCTGCTATACGAGGGGTGTTCCCCTAAGCCACTTAGGGTTCTCATATTAGGTTGAAATTTCACATGTGTAATGATACATGTATCTATGGGTTATATCTGAATTTGCAGCACCGAACTATTAATCTTACCACTTTTACAGGTGTTATGATCGAGTAGGGTGTGACAATGGAGCCAGTAGAATACCGAGCAGTGATTAGGTTTTTATATTTGAAAGGTCGCACACCAAAAGAAACTTTCGATGAAATGAAAACAACTTATGGGGAAGATGCCCCATCATATGACGTTGATAAACACTGGCATTGCCAGTTCAAGTGTGGTCGGACATCTGTGGAAACAGCTGCCATTCCTGGTCGCCCCCATTCATTTGATGAGGACACTATCCATCAAGTGGAGACCGCCATTTTGGCAGACCGTCGTTAAACTGTTCGCCAGTTAGCACAAGATGTCAAGATCAGTGTAGGGTCTGTGAAAAAAATCATCCATGACAATTTGAACATGCATAAGGTGTCTGCACGATGGATTCCAAGGTTGCTCACACCTTTCCAAAAGCAGGAACGAGTCAGTTGCTCAAAGGATCTTTTGGACATGTGCCAAAAAAACCAGACAAACTTTTTTGACAGACTTATCACACAGGATGAAACATGGGTCCCACACTATGATCCTGAGACTAAAGTTCAGTCAATGCAATGGAAGCATGTGGAGTCACCACCCCCAAAGAAGGCACGTGTCCAACCCTCTGCAGGCAAGGTCATGCTCACTGTGTTTTGGGACCAGCATGGAGTAGTGATGATGGATTTCTTGGCAAAGGGTACCACAATTACAGGAGCTTATTATGCTTCACTGCTGCAGAAATTGCGGGACGCTATCAAGCTTAAGAGGCGTGGCATGCTGACCAAGGGTGTCTGTCTCCTGCAAGACAATGCTCCAGTACACAACTCTCATGTTGCCCAGACAGAAGCGCGGTCCTGTGGCTATGAAATCCTTCCACATCCTCCTTACTCTCCTGACCTTGCACCATCTGACTTCAACCTCTTTCCAACCATGAAGTCATTTTTGAAGGGAAAACGTTTCACAGATGATGAAACACTGATTTCTGAAGTCAAGTCCTGGTTTGAGACGCAAAATGAAGGCTTTTACAAGCGAGGTCCCCATAGTTGCATAAAACGATGGGAGAAGTGTGTAACTCTTGGTGGTTCCTATGTGGAGAAAGACTAATACCTATGCCAAGTTTCATTCCACTAGGTCCATCGGAAGTGGGCCAGGGGAAATCTTTAATGAACACCCCTCGTACCATGCCCTTGCACAGTCTTCATCTGGACATGTAATTGGGTTACCCTCTCTGCTATCCCAAGCCCTTGCACAGTCTTCATCTGGACATGTAATTGGCTTAACCTCTCTGCTATCCCATGCCCTTACACAGTCTTCATCTGGACATGTAATTGGGTTACCCTCTCTGCTATCCCATGCCCTTACACAGTCTTCATCTGGACATGTAATTGGCTTACCCTTACTGCTATACAATGCCCTTGCACAGTCTTCATCTGGACATGTAATTGGCTTACCCTTACTCTATACAATGCCCTTACACAGTCTTCATCTGGACATGTAATTGGCTTACCCTTACTGCTATCTAATGCCCTTGAACAGTCTTCATCTGGACATGTAATTGGGTTACACTTACTGCAATCCCAAGCCCTTGCACAGTCTTCATCTGGACATGTAATTGGCTTACCCTTACTGCTATCCAATGCCCTTGAACAGTCTTCATCTGGACATGTAATTGGCTTACCCTTACTGCTATCCCATGCCCTTACACAGTCTTCATCTGGACATGTAATTGGGTTACACTCTCAGCTATCCCACGCCCTTACACAGTCTTCATCTGGACATGTAATTGGCTTACCCTCTCTGCTATCCCATGCCCTTACACAGTCTTCATCTGGACATGTAATTGGCTTACCCTTACTGCTATCCCACACCCTTGCACAGTCTTCATCTGGACATGTAATTGGGTTACACTCTCAGCTATCCCACGCCCTTAAGGTCATAAAATATAGAACATAAAAAAAATGTCTTCCTTTCAGAGGCGTGACTTTGTCATTATGAGGAGAAAACAACTAGATATTCGTTTGTTAGAAACTTTAGAAATAGTATTAATGTTTTGTCCTCAACTGTGAGTTGTGCTAATGTTAAACATTAGGAGATGAGTATGTGATTGACGAATATACAGTGGTCCCTCACTACAACGCTACCAATGGGGTCCAAATAATTGGTGGGCGTTATAGACGATGAGCCGAGGGCGAGGCGGGGGAGCGCGCTCGGCAAATCTCAAATCATCAATATGTGTTTATCTCACGTCACGTCAAAATAGTATATATTTTTATGGACCTAGATCTACCTGTAATATCATTCATTTATTAAATCTGTCACATTTCTAAATGTCTGAAATACGTATTCCATTTCAATTTATCATTTTTTATCGATAAATTAAAAAATTATTCACTATTTCCTGCGATGTTATTGAAAATAAAATTCTCGGACACACATTTTGACAACGGGTCCGCATCGAACATGTCAAAGAGCAAAATAAAGACGTTTTAAGCAAATCTTTAAATATATTATACAAAGTGATAAATAAAATCAACAAAAATATATCTAAAAGTAATCAAACTTACAACTAAGTTATTATTTCCATCGTTTCGTGCGATCGCGTGTAATGTAAGTCAAATGACATCTCGGTTTTCGTCGCCTTGAATTCTCGGCTCGGACACAACGTTTAATGCAAAAATATATGCATGAAAAATCTTTGTCACAGCTCGTAACCTAGCACGATACATTCACGAAGTTCCATATTTTTAATATATATCGTGATTTCCTGCTTAAAACGTTCAGAATAACACGATTTAACAAAAAATCTTTCGCCAACTTCTGAAATTTATCAAACACGAGCTTGGTATCACAGCTATAATTTGATTGGCTGCCTGAGGTCACGTGCTCAAAATTGACCAATCACAAAACTTGTAGCAGATTTCGGCAAGAAAGCGTCATTAGAAACAAATTTTAATCCAATGAAATCGCTTGTTATAACTACGGAAAAAAAACAGGCGATGTTACGAAAGCGCGATTACGAAATGAATGACCGCCGTGTTGTGACAGCAACTACATGTGTGTGACAGTGTCGCCTCAAATTGGATTGCCCACTAATTAAGAATATAAACTTCACTTGTGGTTCTCTTTTATTGCATATTCTAAGATCAAAGGATGTATAGTGTGAAAAGTTAACTAGTTGAACAATCGTATTTCCGGGACTTGCCGCGGATATTTTCAAACAGATTATTAGAACTCCATTCAGCGATAAACGGTTGATTATGCAATGAGAAGCGTTATGTGCAAATGAACAATGAACAACAATACAATTATGTCTGTGTAAAACTCTCAGTAATAAAAGTGTACATAAATTTTGGGAGCCATGCGTTACCGAGCGTAGTAACCGAGGTAGCGCTTTATCGAAGAGCACAATAGCGAGGGATCACTGTATGCGTGAAATTGTGTGATCTGGAACATTTGAATGTGATTGACAAAACCATAAGTTTGACACATCTGGTTTGATCAATAATAATAATAATAATAATAATAATAATAATAATAATGAGTCCATTTGTATGGCGCCAAACTTTGATAAGTGAGACAAAAGATATGCATGATTGAAGAATAAATTTTTTGAGATAATGCATGCATAAATGTTGACACAAACACGAATTCTTCAAGTTCCAAACAGTGGTTCTGCTCAAACATTTAGTGCATTTAGATCATTTCTGTTAAGGCTGTTTGATGTAACGAGAGGCAATTATATAAGTGAATCTTTTGTTTCCAAATGAGACCTACAAGAATTGCACAAAGACATGCTTAGAGCAAATCACAACAAGCCAAAATCAGAAAATCAAAACAAAATATAACTTCAAAGGCATTTAGTTGAAAGAGAAAATTGATCAGTAATTTCATTTATGTTTGTGACTGTTTTCCTATATGCCGCCTGACATGAAGCATGATATGTGTATTACACAGCCAGCAGAGAGAAGTGAAATTGATTCTATTCCTTAAGTAGCATTCCTGTTCATTTCATGACATAAGCACCATGTTCACCGAAATGAATGACACAAATACCAAGCCAGCCACACCAGTCTCATTATAATATATCATTCGTTTCCTTAGAGAAAATATGTCTTTCCCTGTCTTTCTTTACCCAGCATTACAGCATACCTTCTCTGTTTGGAAAGATATGGGAAAAGATCTTTTCAGAAACTGAGCAAAATTGATGATCATTCAATAAACCTCCTTATAAGGCAAAATTATAGAAACAACTATTTGTATTTTATTAATACAGAAATAAGGAAAGTGAGCTTCATTTGTCATCTTGAGAAATTTTATAAATGATTTTGCTATTTGAAACACGTGATGTTCTGGATTTAAAGTTTTGAAATCGATGCCATCTTTAACGCTATAACGAGGAAGTGCTATTGATTGCTTGACAGGCGAAATGGAACACACGGCCAGGGAAGGAGCATCAATTTGTTTTGATATTCACCACAATATTGTTATAACAGTGTACTGAGAGAGAATAGTTTTGGTTGTAACAACGGAACTACGGAACATCACTTGTGCTTCTTGCTTTGCTGAAAACTTGGACTGAACGGTGAGGTATTTTTGTGATCTTTTGGCTTGAATATGTGAGCATGTGTTGCATAATTGTCTATTTGTCCCCTTGTGCTGTACGGCACATTGGACAAACTGTTGCCATCATGTGACATGTGTCGCATGTTGGTATAGGTTTGCTTAGCAGATCTCTTGATCAGCGTCTATTTGAGATAATTTCCCAATTATCGCCATTTTCGTCATTACCACATGTTTCATAATCCCCATCGATAGCTGTTTGTGGAACTGCAATTTTTGCAGATTTTCCGTTTAGTGCTCTTCCTTTGATCACAATATGACGTGAAATAGACGTGTGCTGTGTGGAGCTGGAAGATCAGCATCAGCTGTGAGTGTGTATGTTGACATGTTATTGACATCCCACCATCTGTAATAGGAGTTGTACATAACAACCAGTGTCTCATTTTCATCAGTAGCATTTTAAAGTGTTATTCATATTTAATGACAGCTATTTCAAATCAGGCAATTGAGATATCCTGTTAAACATGTTTTGTATATTATTTAGATGTTTTTTCTTAAAGGTGAGGGAAATCCAAACCCATCCTGATTCACATTATCGTAAAGTCTTTGAATCTTGAATCATGTCCTGTATTTGTTGTCTATGGTTGTCTTCTGCATGTCTCAAACTATTGAACTAAGCTGAATTATTTTAGAAAGAAAGAAAAATGTAAGTGCTTTCATCTTGAAACTCATTTCCTTTCTCATTATTTTCTTTTGGTGTGTTCAACTTGAAACCACTGCCCTCTTCCACTTCACAGTTTTAGCTCTAAGACCAATGTGACACCCATATGTCAGCATAGACTTACAAAAGTTGTAGCACTAAAATCTCTAAGTGTGACTGACCTCGGAAATGCAGTTAACAGTCAGACAGCCCTGACCCAAACCTACGGGTACAGCCAGAAAGATTGTGATCAGTATTTTCCTACACTGTGTGAGCATTATCAAAACAATCAAGTGATGGCTATTGACAACACCGACAAGATAAAACGTCAACACCAGACAATAACCAGTCTTGATACTCGCTGAAACAGACTCCAATGGGCATTGTGCATAAAAGGCAAAATAGCACTGAACATTATTTGAATAGATCACTGAAAATCAGTGATGACACCGGGTTTTTCACGATAACTAGTCCTGTCCTATCAGTAGCACCTGCTACTGATACAGTTTGCATACTTTTTTGCAAACAAAAGATACTTTCTCTCCTAGTTTATATACAGACTGATTGCTGTAAGTTGCTGCAAGTTTGCTTAATGAGTATTTGTGCAAGTGTCAGTCTCTTCATACAGTCAAATCCTTCCCTACCTGCGGGTCTCGTGGTAGAGCATCTGTCCAGAGAGCGGAAGGTCCGGGGGTTCAATCCCTTGCTGTGTCATACCATAGTATGTTAAAAAGTGGTACTTGTTGTTACCCTGCACTCAGCACACAATGTTAAACCCCATTTCACCTCACCTCACCTCACCTCACCTCACCTCACCTCACCTCACCTTCCTGAGGGTTGCAATCAAAGGGATAGAAATGATGTTTTTCCTTCTTGACTTGAGCTGTGTCCACCCTTCTTTATCAAAACCCTGAATAATGGTAAGACTGCATCCATAAGTATCCAGAGGCATACAGAGGCATACAGAGGCTTGCTCTGGATGCAATACGGAATGAGGCTGCTCTACATGCAGGCTTCCAAATTCCTTGTATTTTAGTGACAATGGCACAGATAAAATCACAATGGCATGATCATAATATGTTCCCAGTGCCTGAAGGGCACACTTATAAATAATGATACAAACAACAGTACTTGTGACAATGGTTGTCACGTGACACCAGTGATGAATGTACTTTTGAAGAAGTAAGATGACAAACACATGGAACACTATGAACATGTTAGCATGCTTAATGCACAGTATGAGGCGCTAGGTAACACTGGGTATTACCAATCTCAGTGAAGAGGAAGGGAGCAATGTTTTCCTGGAATATGACTGCTTATTACCTGGCCTCAGTGAAATGGCATTCATGAAGTTAGCAGATGGATTAAAAGTATTCTTTGAGTTGGCACACTTACATTCCAAAGGAAACACTGAAACATCTCTGTGAGAGGGTAGGGAATGCTTCTGCCCTTGCACTGTTTGCAGGTGATTCAGACCACCTTTCCACCATCTTCCCAAGGCAAGGAAGTTAACAGACTGTAAAAGTCCAGTTTCCCTTGCCGAACTAGGCTGGAATTTCTGGGCATGATCGCAGTGCCACCTGTGGCTATTACAAGTTATGTCCCTTCTATGTCCCTCCTATTGACCAATCAGGTTCCACCTCTCATATCACTTGCATTTACAAACAAAATGGTGACGCCTAGTCAAGACGATCTGATTGATCATCAAAATCTATATTGTGATAAAATGGGTCTTACTTCGTGAATTGTTGCAACTCATGTGAGCACCTTGATTAAAAACATGAAAAGATATGGAAAATATTTGTTGATACCCAGTTTACGGTATACATGCTTTGCAAATCCTACAGTTGACCAAATTATGCACAGCATTTTACAAACGGGATGTCGATTTCATTTTGCAATTTTGATTGGACTGTGCATAGACTCGTTAGTCCAGCCAAAATATAACTCCATAATTTCAGCCTATTTTGGCAAGGTTGGAAACTGGACTTTTATAGTCAGTAAACTCCATTGCCTTGGGAAGATGCCTTTTCACAGATCACAGGCAATCCTTCTGTCGTTTCACAATCATGGATGATTATTGTGTTAATTAGATCATATTTCATTCAATTTAAATTCAAGTTTATGTTTTTGCATGTATAAAATGGGACTGCATCTCATGTTATTGTAACATGTTATTGTAAAGTTGATAACAACTTGTCAGACGGACTGTCTCGGGCATTGCTTGATTTTGTTAGACAACTGTTGCCCAAATTTACTACATTGTATTCCCGGTTTCGATATAAAAACAGGGTAACGAATGATAACGAATCACAAGAAGAAAAAGACATTTCACAGAAAACTTTTATTTGCAAATTCACTGTAACAGGACTCACAGCATATAAACATATCACAGCTAATTCTTCATGTGAAATATCAAATCACAGCAAATTAAAAGAGCCAATAATGTATAACAAAAAAGGTATCCCCTGCCTGCTTATGCATGCCCTGTGGCACACTTGAAACATCTGCATTTCTATCCCTGTCACGACTTGACTAATACATTATGTCAGAGAGTGTGGTTTATTGGTGCGTTGAACAGTTTTCGCGATACACCAGCTGTGTATTGAGAACAAACCCACACAAGTTGTTGATATTTACTTTGGTGAAAGCCATGAACATTAATGTTTAACAAATTGAGTATTGTTTTATGCCACCATCAGCAGTATTCTAGCCATATCATGGCAGGGGACACCAGAAATGGGCCTCTCACATTGTACCCATGTGCGGAATTGTCCCGGGCTCGGTGTAACAAACGATCACACAAGCCTACCTCACTGCCCCTTCAACAAAGTCATTCTTTACCATGGTGCTGATAAACCAGGGTCCATGATTTGGCAAATAACATTGGTGAGCAGCTGATCCTGCAGAGCTAAGGGATGCAACTCTTTAGCTGGCCACATGTGCCTCACTGATAAAGGCTCGCATGAGGAAGTCATGCAGGTTTTTTAGTTGAATGACCTTAAGTCAAGGAAGAACAGCATTTGTCCATTGAGCAGGTTGTGGCCTTGTGGTAGCGCATCTGTTTGGGGAGCAGAAGACCTCGGGTTCGATCCTCAGCCACATCATACCAAAAGACATTAAAAGGTGGTACTTGTTGTTACCCTGCCTGGCATTCGGCTTTAGGGGGATAAGACAAAGAAGGACTGGTTGGCTTGGAGTCAGTATGCAGACAGGTCTTCACATTGAAAGTTTGTTTGGGATGATAAAAATTATGACAAACATCTCTGCTGCTGTTAATTTTGGCGAGGGCAATTTTATGCTCACAGACAAACTTGGTGTTCATCAACAAACTGCCTTTGTTTAGGGTTGAGGGAGAGTGAGTTAGGTCAGCCACTTCTCAGGTGCCCTACTGCTTGTTATTCAGGTAGTCAAAGTGTCGGTGATATTGGCCAACAAATCCCCACCTGTCTCTTACAACAATTGTATGATGTGGGAGAACTGTTCCCAGAGTCCCCAACATAACCATTGCACGGACAAGGTGTCACTGGAAAGGTTTCAAGACCAAAATAGTATCTCTACAAACTTGATTCCCATAACAGGGAAATGTTATCGTGACAAATAGCAAGGTTTCTAACACTGAAAAACCTCTGCAATCAAACAGTCTTCAAACAAGTTGCTACACAAACAGTTTAGATGCTATTTTACAAGTCCCTTATGCTAAGAGCCATCAATCAAATGGTTTGACATTGTCACAAAAATGTGCAAAATGGTCATTACGTGGAACACACCATGGGTCTGGCCTGGTCCTGTGTTCGTGGTACTCTTGTGGCGGTTGGATCATCGTGGGTCGTCATCTGAGGACACTGTAGCCTGTAAATACTAGATTACATAGGAACGTGGCTCTCGTTTGTCAGAAAATCCATACGTGGATGTAGAAGCTAGCCCAAGTGCTGTTTATACAGCATGGTGCTGTGATGTAGCAATGGGGAATTGCAATTTAATACCATAAGAGAGTTTTCTCTTTCACATTTAGCAATATCTATGTTGGTTGTGTGCTTTAATTTGTATTTTCAATTTTGTTGAAACTTGATCCTTTCCCCAATGAATTGTGCATGTTTGTTTATTGCGGTCTTGATGCTCGGTTGTTGAGTAGATGGACTGTGGAGTATTGTATTGTGGTATTGATAAATTCAGTTAGAAATAATTCATGCTCTGACCTTGTAACTAGAAGTAGCAAGGAAGTGATATTGAAACAAAGGTCCATAAGAGGTTTGTGGTTTTCGGTTTTGTAAAATAATAGTTACATTGAGCATTTAATTTTAACAGAAAACTTTTCTTTATGCAGTTATAATTGTTGATGAACTTAGCTTCTGCTTTGACATATTTCAATAAAAATATGACGACTAAAGATTGATTATGAAAGTTTATCAAATATATTTCTTGATCTTGGAAAATCTGATAAAAAGCATTCACTTATATTTCAGACTGTTAAAACATTGGCAGCTGGGAATGGAACTTCTTGGTTCATGAAGGGTTGACATTGTAAGGGGTGGTATTCTAAGTGAGGCATTATAAAGGGTGACATTGTAATTGGTGGCATTATAAAGGGTGACATTGTAATTGGTGGCATTATACAGGGTGATATTGTAATTGGTGGCATTATAAAGGGTGACATTGTAATTGGTGGCATTATAAAGGGTGATATTGTAATTGGTGGCATTATACAGGGTGACATTGTAATTGGTGGCATTATACAGGGTGATATTGTAATTGGTGGCATTATACAGGGTGATATTGTAATTGGTGGCATTATACAGGGTGACATTGTAATTGGTGGCATTATAAAGGGTGATATTGTAATTGGTGGCATTATACAGGGTGATATTGTAATTGGTGGCATTATAAAGGGTGACATTGTAATTGGTGGCATTATACAGGGTGATATTGTAATTGGTGGCATTATACAGTGTGATATTGTAATTGGTGGCATTATACAGGGTGACATTGTAATTGGTGGCATTATAAAGGGTGATATTGTAATTGGTGGCATTATACAGGGTGACATTGTAATTGGTGGCATTATACAGGGTGATATTGTAATTGGTGGCATTATACAGGGTGATATTGTAATTGGTGGCATTATAAAGGGTGACATTGTAATTGGTGGCATTATAAAGGGTGATATTGTAATTGGTGGCATTATACAGTGTGATATTGTAATTGGTGGCATTATACAGGGTGACATTGTAATTGGTGGCATTATACAGGGTGATATTGTAATTGGTGGCATTATAAAGGGTGACATTGTAATTGGTGGCATTATAAAGGGTGATATTGTAATTGGTGGCATTATAAAGGATGATGTTGTAATTGTGGCATTATAAAGGGTGACATTGTAGTTGGTGGCATTATAAAGGGTGATATTGTAATTGGTGGCATTATAAGGGTGACATTTTAATTGGTGGCATCATGAAGGTTGACAATGTAATTGGTGGCATAATAAAGGGTGACATTGTAATTGGTGGCATTATAAAAGGTGATATTGTAGTTGGTGGCATTATGAAGGGTGACATTGTAATTGGTGGCATTATAAGGGTGACATTTTAATTGGTGGCATCATGAAGGTTGACAATGTAATTGGTGGCATAATAAAGGTTGACATTGTAATTGATGGCATTATAAAGGGTGACATTGTAATTGGTGGCATAATAAAGGGTGACATTGTAATTGGTGGCATTATGAAGGGTGACATTGTAATTGGTGGCATCATAAAGGGTGACATTATAATTGGTGGCATTATGAAGGATGACATTGTAATTGATGGCATTAAAAAGGATGGCATTGTAATTGATGGCATTATAAAGGGTGACCTTTTGAGAGATGTCGTAAAAAGGATTTGCATTTTAAATGATGACATTATGAGAAAGATTATTCTGTAATGACAACTTCCAAGAGGAAAAATTCTTTAAAGCTGTTTTCCAGGAAGTTGTGTTTCTGTCAAAGAGCCTTTGATGACATAACAAGACCTCAAACTGTGTTATAACTCCCATTCAGTCAACTCTTGAAATATCAGACTTGATCATCTTTCATCTGCCTCAGCAATATTGACACTTATCCATTCTAAGTATGATGAATGAAGCACTGTTTTCTAAAGAACTTCTCATGTGACATATAAAAATTGCTTTTATCTATAAATGATGTCTAACGTTTCAATTACAGAGTTGAGTCTTGTGTCCCTGTCTGATAACTCAGGTCTCATCCATTTCATAGACACTTTCGCAATCATTTGAAGATTTTTCCGTTAACTGGTGTACGAATGACTGTCACTTTGAAAACGGCCCCCTTTTTGATGGTATTGGTTGGTTCCAAGCTTCCAGTTCTATTTGTCATTTGTTCTTGGGAAATGACAGGAACCTAATTGTTTGTAGATTTTTCTGAATTACTGCGAAAATAGTACTATAGAAATTGACATTTTCTGAATTGGGTCTCCATAGACTTTCTAAGCAGTTTTCTCATGGGGAAAACAAAATAAGAAATATATTGTGGGAACCGTTTGGCATGTATCACCTCGCATGTGATTTTTGTCTTCCATCATAAGGTGGAACATCTGTAGCTTGAAAGGCACTGACGCTGTATCTCTCTATGAGCATACAGTGTTTTGATGATGACTGTACCTTTACTGACATGGCGTCAAATGGCTACAGTAGACCTCTTCAATTTCCATGATCTTGAATTAATTAGAATACACGATACTCATCTAAAAGTCTGACTGCTCTTAATAGAGTACTTACTCTGTTGAAGTTTCATATCAGTTATGGAGAGGTAGTAAATATGTGTACAGTAGTACAGCCTGGAGGCTCAGAAACAACAGGTCCAAACACAATAATGCTGATAGTTGTGATTGTCATGTTGATGACCATGATGATGGTGATGCCTGTGATGCTGTTGATAATGCGTATGGTGATGATGGTGATGATGATAATGCTAAGGATGATGATGATGATGATGGTGATGCCTGTGATGCTGTTGATAATGCGTATGGTGATGATGGTGATGATGATAATGCTTAGGATGATGATGATGATGATGATGATGATGGTGATGCCTGTGATGCTGTTGATAATGCGTATGGTGATGATGGTGATGATGATAATGCTTAGGATGATGATGATGATGATGATGATGATAACAAAGGTAATGTTTTCTGGATTTATGAGTGCTTTGTACACTGTCCAGCCAGCAATTGGTTTGCCCTTTCAATACAGAAAATCCAAACACAGGTTATTGCTGTACAGATAAGTAATTAATAGCCGAAAAGTGCACCGATTTGGTGAGTGTCTGTCCATGGCTGTATGACGTCAAGCACACTACACATGGCCTCCAAGTGGTACCTAGGTCCCAATGGTTATACACCAGGAATCCATGGCTGTATGACGTCCAGCACACTACACATGGCCTCCAAGTGGTACCTAGGTCCCAATGGTTATGCACCAGGAATCCATGGCTGTATGACGTCCAGCACACTACACATGGCCTCCAAGTGGTACCTAGGTCCCAATGGTTATGCACCAGGAATCCATGGCTGCATGACGTCCAGCACACTACACATGGCCTCCAAGTGGTACCTAGGTCCCAATGGTTATACACCAGGAATCCATGGCTGCATGATGCCCAGCACACTACACATGGCCTCCAAGTGGAACCTAGGTCCCAATGATTATACACCAGGAATCCATGGCTGTATGATGTCAAGCACACTACACATGGCCTCCAAGTGGAACCTAGGTCCCAATGATTATACACCAGGAATCCATGGCTGCATGATGCCCAGCACACTACACATGGCCTCCAAGTGGAACCTAGGTCCCAATGATTATACACCAGGAATCCATGGCTGTATGACGTCCAGCACACTACACATGGCCTCCAAGTGGAACCTAGGTCCCAATGGTTATACACCAGGAATCCATGGCTGTATGACGTCCAGCACACTACACATGGCCTCCAAGTGGAACCTAGGTCCCAATGATTATACACCAGGAATCCATGGCTGTATGATGTCAAGCACACTACACATGGCCTCCAAGTGGAACCTAGGTCCCAATGGTTATACACCAGGAATCCATGGCTGTATGACGTCCAGCACACTACACATGGCCTCCAAGTGGTACCTAGGTCCCAATGATTATACACCAGGAATCCATGGCTGCATGATGCCCAGCACACTACACATGGCCTCCAAGTGGAACCTAGGTCCCAATGATTATATACCAGGAATCCATGGCTGTATGACGTCCAGCACACTACACATGGCCTCCAAGTGGAACCTAGGTCCCAATGGTTATACACCAGGAATCCATGGCTGTATGACGTCCAGCACACTACACATGGCCTCCAAGTGGAACCTAGGTCCCAATGATTATACACCAGGAATCCATGGCTGTATGATGTCCAGCACACTACACATGGCCTCCAAGTGGTACCTAGGTCCCAATGATTATACACCAGGAATCCATGGCTGTATGACGTCCAGCACACTACACATGGCCTCCAAGTGGTACCTAGGTCCCAATGGTTATACACCAGGAATCCATGGCTGCATGACATCCAGCACACTACACATGGCCTCCAAGTGGAATCTACCTGGTGTAGCATCATACCCCAATAGTGTGGATGGTGCTTACTCTGTTGACAATAATCATGTTCATCTGAGTCAGACCATAGGATGTCTAGGTAAACCACAAGCTAATCAACTATAATCTAATTAGATTTTCATTATTCTACTGACAGGAAGTACAGTGCACTCTATTTTCTCCCTCAACTTCAGAATATTAAATTGAAAAGAACATACAGCACAGAGAAGACAGTGATGACAGATATTCACATTGACATTGATTCATGGTGTATAGAAGCTGTAGTTATTGATGCAGGGAAGAAAGTATATTTCTTTGGGAATGTAAAGCATCTCGCATCAAATCCTACATTGTAAGAATTTCTGCTTCTTGAGGTTGATAATGAAGTATGTTTGTTGTGAAGGCTGCAGGGTCTACAATGAGTGAGACAATGTACATGCTCTGTTCAGTTCCAGATGCATGAATACAGAAAACAAGAGAAGGTTGGCATTGATTTTATGAGATGTTTATATTGCATTGTCACAGAATATTAAAACTTTAATGCAAATCATATTATGTTGCACATAAATGCTCAAGTAACTTGACATTTTGATTTTTGCCCATTTACAAGAGCAAGATGTACAATGCAATAGATTCGGTGTGTGATGATGGAAAGTTATACAACAATACAATAGATTCAATGTATGACATTCAAATAGTAGCAGTATATGACGATGGCAAATTGTATGACAACCAACTCTTTGCAGTGTTCAACAAAGACAGGCAGTAGTCTCTCTTGCAGGAAACAGACATTTTTCACCTAATGTTCCTAAGATTCAGTGATGATCTTTTAGTTGAGTACAATGTCTGTATTAACAAAGACAAATTTTCAATTTATTTCATTTAAGAAAACATGTGCTTTGTGTGTATACTTCCTAAAACAATTTACCAGACAAATTGTAAAGCTGATTTTGCCTTGCTGCTGAAGAGGCAGTTTGAATATAAGAAATCACTGATATAAAAAGAATATTTTTTGGAAAAAAGGACTGAAGCCTTGGACATTGATGTAAAGGGAAATACAAACAGTGTAATTTCATACCCAAAAAATCAGAAATCATACACACTCACTTAATAAACGGGCACACATACCGGGTTAGAAAAAGAAGCTAGCTTTAATAACGTTGTCATATTGGTAATACATGTGTGTTTTTGTTGACTGACCTCTGGTGCTTATCATCTGTCTTTTTGACATTTTCATTAACAATCTCCTCCTCCCTGTGTACTAACATCTGGCAGAACACTGCTTCAGAACTCACCATTATATATTCCTGCAATAACTTGATCCAGATTTAATGTATTTTTTGCCTATTTACAAAGCATGGGTAATCAGGTCAGAATTTGGTTTTTATCTTTTTATCCTCTCAAATCTATTCTGTTTCAAGACAACTGACACTTTTCAATTCAGCTTGTGTCTGATAAAAGAGTGATCGAAATGCTTACTAGATTGAATTGTGGTCTTTTTTTGCCAATGCTGTGATAACCTCGTGCCAACAGGCTTGTGGAAATCCTTGCAATTGTCTTAGCATATTGTCAAGTTTAAAATACGCCATTTGCCAAAATCAACACTTCTTTCATAATAAATATGAGATTATGTTTTGAAGCACTTGGTTATACATGTTCTGTGTTGTGTTTAAAGGCATTTGGGCCCTGACTGTTAATCATGTAAATATAGAATGTGATTTGTGATGATTTTTTATTTCACACTGAGATTGAATTCAATTTAGGAAGCATTTCACCAGTATCTGTAAACAACATATATTTTTAAGAGCTGGTCATCAAGCTGCTTTTGTGGAACAAATTGAAAAGAATGTTTCAAATGTTCTTTTTAGGGTATTTTGTGAATAAAAGGAATTATAATGAACTTCTATTCAGGAAAAATGTGGTTTTAAAAACATTTCTGTGACAGATGAATCTGCATCCCCTGTATTGGACTAGTTAGTCCAAAGGGAAGAAAATAGTTTGCTCCAGTTAATAAGATGTATAGGGTTTGCTTTGCACAAGAAGATATAAATTCTAAATGTGGTTTGTGGTCCTCGACCTTCTGAGTAGGTTCACTCTCCAGAACCACAACCTATCCCAATCCAGACCCTCGCTCTCCAAAACAACACCCTATCCCAATCCAGACCCTCGCTCTCCAGAACCACACCCTATCCCAATCCAGACCCTAGCTCTCCAGAACCACAACCTATCCCAATCCAGACCCTAGCTCTCCAGAACCACAACCTATCCCAATCCAGACCCTAGCTCTCCAGAACCACAACCTATCCCAATCCTGACCCTAGCTCTCCAGGACCACAACCAATCCCAATCCAGACCCTAGCTCTCCAGAACCACAACCTATCCCAATCCAGACCCTCGCTCTCCAAAACAACACCCTATCCCAATCCAGACCCTCGCTCTCCAGAACCACACCCTATCCCAATCCAGACCCTAGCTCTCCAGAACCACAACCTATCCCAATCCAGACCCTAGCTCTCCAGAACCACAACCTATCCCAATCCAGACCCTAGCTCTCCAGAACCACAACCTATCCCAATCCAGACCCTAGCTCTCCAGAACCACAACCTATCCCAATCCAGACCCTAGCTCTCCAGAACCACAACCTATCCCAATCCTGACCCTAGCTCACCAGAACCACACCCAATCGAAATCCAGACCCTAGCTCTCCAGAACCACACCCTATCGAAATCCAGACCCTAGCTCTCCAGAACTGGCATGTCCCAAAGCAGGCCCCAACTCTCTTTAAACGTTCTGTCTTGATCCGACCTCCCGCCTCACCTTCCACCCAGCTGACCTGACACCCAACCTCCCAACCAGCTGACCCAACACCCCATCTACCATCCAGCGAACCTGACACCCCACCTCCCAACCAGCTGATCTGACACCCCATCTACCAACCAGCTGACCCGACACCCCACCTCCCAAACAGCTGACCTGACACCCCACCTCCCAACCAGCTGACCCAACACCCCACCTCCCAAACAGCTGACCTGACACCCCACCTCCCAACCAGCTGACCCAACACCCCACCTCCCAACCAGCTGACCTGACACCCAATCTACCAACCAGCTGACCCGACATCCCATCTCCCATCCAGCTGACCTGACACCCTATCTCCCAACCAGCTGACCTGACACCTCATCTCCCACCCAGCTGATCCAACACCCCACCTCCCAACCAGCTGACCTGACACCCCATCTCCCATCCAGCTGACCTGACACCCCATCTCCCAACCAGCTGACCTGACACCCCACCTCCCAACCAGCTGACCTGACACCCCATCTCCCATCCAGCTGACCTGACACCCCATCTCCCAACCAGCTGACCTGACACCCCATCTCCCAACCAGCTGACCTGACACCCCACCTCCCAACCAGCTGACCTGACACCCCATCTCCCAACCAGCTGACCTGACACCCCATCTCCCACCCAGCTGACCCAATACCCCACCTCCCAACCAGCTGACCCAACACCCCACCTCCCAACCAGCTGACCCAACACCCTGTCTACATCCAGCTGACCTGACACCCCACCTCCCAACCAGCTGACCCAACACCCCACCTCCCAACCAGCTGATCTGACACCCCACCTCCCATCCAGCTGACCCAACACCCCATCTACCAACCAGCTGACCTGACACCCCATCTCCCATCCAGCTGATCTGACACCCCATCTCCCATCCAGCTGACCCAACACCCCACTTCCCAACCAGCTGACCTGACACCCCACCTCCCATCCAGCTGACCCAACACCCCACCTCCCAACCAGCTGACCTGACACCCCACCTCCCATCCAGCTGACCCAACACCCCATCTACCAACCAGCTGACCTGACACCCATCTACCAACCAGCTGACCCGACACCCCATCTACAAACCAGCTGACCCAAAACCCCACCTCCCACCCAGCTGACCCAACACCCCACCTCCCATCCAGCTGACCTGACACCCCATCTCCCAACCAGCTGACCTGACACCCCATCTCCCATCCAGCTGATCCAACACCCTACCTCCCATCCAGCTGATCTGACACCCCATCTCCCATCCAGCTGACCTGACACCCCATCTCCCAACCAGCTGACCCAACACCCCATCTACCATCCAGCTGACCCAACACCCCACCTCCCAACCAGCTGACCTGACACCCCATCTCCCATCCAGCTGACCTGACACCCCATCTCCCATCCAGCTGACCTGACACCCCATCTCCCACCCAGCTGACCCAATACCCCACCTCCCAACCAGCTGACCCAACACCCCACCTCCCAACCAGCTGACCCAACACCCTGTCTACATCCAGCTGACCTGACACCCCACCTCCCAACCAGCTGACCCAACACCCCACCTCCCAACCAGCTGACCTGACACCCCACCTCCCATCCAGCTGACCCAACACCCCATCTACCAACCAGCTGACCTGACACCCAATCTCCCATCCAGCTGATCTGACACCCCATCTCCCATCCAGCTGACCCAACACCCCACCTCCCAACCAGCTGACCTGACACCCCACCTCCCATCCAGCTGACCCAACACCCCACCTCCCAACCAGCTGACCTGACACCCCACCTCCCATCAAGCTGACCCAACACCCCATCTACCAACCAGCTGACCTGACACCCATCTACCAACCAGCTGACCCGACACCCCATCTACAAACCAGCTGACCCAAAACCCCACCTCCCACCCAGCTGACCCAACACCCCACCTCCCATCCAGCTGACCTGACACCCCATCTCCCAACCAGCTGACCTGACACCCCATCTCCCATCCAGCTGATCCAACACCCTACCTCCCATCCAGCTGATCTGACACCCCATCTCCCATCCAGCTGACCTGACACCCCATCTCCCAACCAGCTGACCCAACACCCCATCTACCATCCAGCTGACCCAACACCCCACCTCCCAACCAGCTGATCTGACACCCCACCTCCCAACCAGCTGACCCAACACCCCACCTCCCAACCAGCTGACCTGACAACCCACCTCCCAACCAGCTGACCCAACACCCCACCTCCCAACCAGCTGACCTGACACCCCATCTACCAACCAGCTGACCCGACACCCCATCTCCCATCCAGCTGACC